AGTATCTATCTACAGGTAATAACACTTGACGTCGACCACCTTAAAATTAAACCATAACATTAAAGAAATAAGGTTCAATTTGAACTATACTGAATCAGCGAACAAGATACTTTCAATGTATTCTAAACTATGTTACAAAGAAAGATGTCTCGAGCAAAACACGCTTGTTTGATGTTTGTAACTTTCAAACTAAAAGGCTTGGAACGACCATTCTTCGCTACATTAATTTTTCAACTGAAAAGGTCTTTAGCACGTGAAACTGTTCTTTGAAACCAGGAGACAGTACAGTCCATGTGTTCCGTGATCTTAAATTAAACAAACTCTTACCAACAACAATGTATGTTTTCACTTTATTTTTGAATGGAGGAGGCAAAAGTAAAAGGTTTAAAAAAAAAAGGAAATAATTACATCTAACTGGTAAGTAATGAGGCGAGCATAATTCATTTATTAATTTTAGGTAATACAAATGATACGTATGCATCAAGGGCACTTGGACTTTTCTCGTGGCCCAAGTTTTTCCAGTTCAAGGAAGAACGTCAGGGCCATTCAATACGTTTTCGGGGCGTTAATGAATCGCGAAGACTGCACTATTGTCAAAGGTGCTATTTCATGCTTGTTACAGTGCATCGGCACATCGGTATCCTTGATCACCGTCCACGTCGCTTGCGACGAAGGGCTCGACGAGTAAATTAACCCATAAACACAGCCCACTGAGTTTCTCACCGGATCTTCTCAGTGGGTCGCGTTTCCGATCCGGTGGTAAATTCTGCGAAGCACTGCTCTTGCTAAGGCCAGTGTTAGCCATACTTTCGGTTTGAGCCCCGTGAGCTCACTTACACGTTAGAGTGAAGCTGAAGTAGCCTCTCAAGGTTCACAGCGTAGGTAGGAAAAAAATCGACATCCTGACACTAGAAGAGAGTAGTTGATGGTGTGCCACTATAGCTGTGGCATCGTGGAAAACGTCAAATGCTCATTTTTTAACATTCATGTAAGAGGCAACGCTGTACTCTTCTTGGTCAAGTACGACCCAACTTCGTACTTGACCGAGAAGAGTACAGCGGAAGGCAGTGATCAAGTTCTGCAAGTCTACCATCGGTAAGAAGATGCAGAGTGTTGGAGAAAGCGCTCATTATTTGCATCGATCTGTTATCGCCTGCAGGAAGCAAGATTGCTCACCTGTACAGGCTTACAACATAGCCAGTAGCATGGTTACTAAGTAGTAGTGTCAATAAATTAAGGTGATACCAATATTTCTTGATTTCTCAAGGTAGAGTGTTATAGTAATAGGAATATAAATCAAAACTGTTCGTAGATGAACTCTATTATTTTTGTTTTCATTCCATTAAAATCGTCGTACCTTTCGTCAAGCAAAGGACTAATGAGAGTGTTATTAAGGTTAAGGGGAGAATTCGATTATCTTTGTTTTTGTGCCATGAGTTCTTTGGAGAGTGCTTAGGGAATTAGTTTCAGATGATCCCACTTTTTCCATCTTGCCCACCATCGGAGCAAAGTAGTACCTGCAACCATTTCTACTTGTCTTTGAAGTTCTGGAATGAGTGCGGCTCTGAAGTGCTAGAATGCTAGAAAGCGAGGTTTAAGAACAGTCCTTCGTTGTGAGATTGCTGTATTACTGCAAATACCGATGCCCATGAGTGTCGGTTATACCATTCAGTGGTCCGTACAATTAAGACAAATAAAACCTATGCATACTCAAGAAAGTAAAGTGTTTTGATGTTTGACATTGAGCTTCGTATATGTCATATGTCAATGAATGGGAAAGTCCAAATGTAATGCATACACTTTTTGGATACATCATGCTGTGAACCCTGCAAGGCTCGTCTGAGAAGTAGTCATACCTTCCAGTTTTGAGGCTGTGACAAATATTGAGGCTTCGACCTCATATCTTAAGCGGTACTTTGTTAATACCTTTTTGCTCTAGTGAAAACTTAAAAGTAGATCGCAATACATTTATCATTAATGTGAAGTGTCTCTCTAGTTTTCGTGGTAGGTATATGTCTTTCCGCGTATACCGATATACCGCGTGAAATTCGTTTCCAAATGCTTCTTTTCCACCTGATAGTTGTCTGGAAGAGATCGCTCTTAGCGATAAGACCGCCAATTGTACTTTTTTTTTGTATTTAATGTTTCCTATTGGTTTTTTTTGTTGGTATATAATAAAGCTTATTCTCTCTCTTTGTCTTTGTCTCTTTCTTTCTTTCTAGTTTTCGTGGTAGCTTCAACGTTGGACTAAAGAGAGAAGATGACTAGAATATAAAATAGCGACCTCCCTCATCTTGTAATGCTCAATCAGTTTTCGAATAATTCGTTTAGGGAACATAAATCTGTGTTTAGACGTGGGGGTTACGGGCCTTAATATGATTACGAGAGGCCGTATACGATAATAAAAACGGATAATTTGATTATAGAGGTCATCTTACTGTAAGATTAATTGTGTAATCTCCGACTTAATCACCAGAATATTATTACAAATAATTCAATTATGTAGACTTGTAATGAACGATTATGTTGTTGTGTGTGTGTGTGTGTATGCTCATGAGTTCTCTAAATAAATAATTTAGTAATTGTTTTATCAGCGGTCTGTATAATGATCGATCTCGCTACAAGCTTTTTGACAGTGACTTTTGCAACAGAATTATTATACAACTGTTGGCACGATTTTGATAAACCCCGATGGGTTCGGGATAATCGTAGATAATCTGTTCACATTTGTAACAGATTATAGTGCAGCCTACGTGCACTATTTTAGTCAATAACTTTTTAATCAATACATAAATACAAAGTACCGTATTTTATAACTAATAATTGTCCCAATAATTAGTAGAATTCGACTATGAAGAAAAGATAGGTTTAATATTTTCTAATAGTAATGTAGGAATGATTATTATAAACCGCGGAGTTTGGCTTAATGGATTCACTTCTGCAATAGATGTACACGGTTTTTACGGCACGAGCTTGCGGCCACCCGCGAGGCGACAACGCTCCCCTCCTTATTTGTGGTTTCAATTCGCTTTTTACGAACGTTGCCCTCTTTGCAGCTAAATTGCGTTGGTATAATTTTGTAATCTGCTGTGTCAAATGAAATGTGATTCTGTGCGAATGTTCCAAAGCTATTTTTCGTTTGAAAAAAGTTATAATATTCGAATCCACAATAGAGTTTGTTAATCGTTTGTGAGAGACATCAGTGGCATGGAAGTTGAGTATGCTTTGAGACCCCTCGTGCTGGTACCATGGTTCCATCATATTGTTCTTATATCATTCAAGCAGCAAAACTTAGAACATGTTTTCGTAAGAAATACGCTTCGTTGACTTTATTAAATATTTTTTTAAATAATATTTCGGTTTAGAGATTCAAGAAATTAAGCATCCCGGTTTGAATTTTTTGCACGGAATGTATAAAATAAATAGCTGCTAGCGTGTCTCATGTTGAGTATTGACCAGGGTCTATGAGCTCTCAATCTCTACAAAGTGTGTAATCGAAATGTCAGAAATAGTAAAATGAAAATAAAAAATGAGACATTAAGCCGTAAAAGTAGTTGTAGTAATTATGATTTTAAAAAGTAATTCTTGGCTGAATAAAAATAATAATAATAATTTTTAATATCTTTTTAAAAAAATATTATGTAATTAATAAGATTTTAAATAAATATAAATAAATAATAATGATAATAATTTATTTATTTCTCTCTTAAAGGTATAGTACAAATGCAAATGGAAATTAACCTTATAATTTATTTTGTAAGCCTTTGAAAGAGCTGAAGTCTGTACTGGATTCAAAGACCTGTATTACTGATCTCCAGGCTCCCTCCTTCTTAGGATAGATTAGGTTAGGTTAAGTCGTGAACAGATGCTGCGAACTATAGACTTTATTTGTTTTTCCGTGTTTCAAAAGCTTTGATGCTGTCTGAGGGTAAACTTTTGTTGATACACATGTAGTTATATTAGTAATAAAGTGGTTGAGGGAAAAATAATTAGATATCCACTCGGAAAAAATATATTTCAATTTTTATAAAATCAATTCAGACATCTTTTAAAATTCGTACATTTTTTACAACATACATACATAAAGTTTTATACTAAAAATTACAATCATTTTCATGCAGCAGGATTATCCAATTGAATTTTGTGGCATATACTAATTAAAATTTTGAAAAAACTGAGAGTAACTTGGAATGTCATTGTTATTATATTTTGTGTAAAATATTTTAATGTTTTCGAAACTTTTAATTTCGTTTCTTTAATTTTTTTAGACTTGTATGTATTTAATTACTATTTCAATAATACATATATTGTTTGTCCATACCAAATAAAAATATTTACATGGTCTGTAATTAGCACCATTGTTTTTCAAGTAATTGAAGAGCTCTCTTGAACTCCGCTATCAAATTGTCAAGCGACAGTCCTATTAGGGTTGTAAAGCACATACAAAGCGACTTGATCCAAATCAGTCAATATCGAACTACGAGGTGAATCGCATACAACTAGAGTTGCAAAACCATGGGCGATTAAATGGAAATTTCTTAAAATAGTAATCTTTTAAAATAAATTTTTTTTTTGAAAAGGTTTGTTCATTTGGAGCACAGGGTTAAACCCTTCAAAGCGAAAGCAAAGGATAGCAGCTCTATTAGAGTACGGGATTTACCGAAACCTCTTCGGACTACGGGTTAACTTCGTACCTGCATTTTCTGATAATATAGGATGATTACGTAATAGCGTCATTAAATAAAAGTTATTATTAAAAATGAAAAAAACTGTTTTTTATTTATTTGTAATGGATATAACTAGAAGCGGTTTTTGTGAAGTATTTTGAGGTAATGATTGTATTGATTGTAATAAAAGTGAAATAAAGATAGTTGTATATTAGGCTTTTGCAGTACTTTGCCAAATTGAAAACTTGTAAAATTTAGATATTTACAAGAACTACTAGTTTATAACGCTGTTCAAACTAAACAGTGTTTGCCAAGCTGTGTGTTTTATTTTAATTTTCTATTTCTATAATAATTAGTACTTTAAGTAAATTTTGGTGCTAATTACTTTCAAGACCTCTGTCAATCAAGTTACAATTTATACTTTCATATTTCTCACTAAACAAGCTTTTTCACACTGTCAAATATTGTTTTAACAAATAAATAAACAGCATATCCAAACTAAATGAGTGACTCTACTTAAACTAAAATTACAATATTTATCTAGAATATGAGATAATTATTTACTATTAACTAAACTGTACAGCGCTTAAAGTCTCTAAACAAATACGTACACAGCGATGTTATCACCGCAAATTAATTTTACAAGTCCAGTATTTTAACATTACACAATGTGATGATATGTGGTATTTACAAGTATTCATGTTTCACGGCGAATTAGTATCACAGGATCGCCGTTGAGTAGGGCGGCACGGCGAGGGCCGTGCGCCCCCGTCACACTAGCGCGCTAGGCTTCACGTCAAGTCCATGCTCAGGGGACCGACTGCCCGTTCCGCCCTCGCCTTGGCTGTTTTCTTCTGAATCCGAGCACGACTCCGAGCTGCCTTTCTTGCCACCATTGTGAGTTTTTACGTGCTTCGCTAGGTGATCTGAACGCATAAACCGCTTATTGCACACCGGACATGCGAACCTCTTTTCGCCGGTGTGCGTGCGGAGATGTCTTTGTAACTCATCGGATCGAGTAAACCTTTTCCCGCAGAATAGCCAGTTACAGACAAACGGTCGTTCGCCGGTGTGCCAACGAAGGTGTGCTTTAAGGTGTGAGGTTTTGCCGTAAACTTTACCGCAACCCGGTATGTGACAGCTGTGTATATTTTTCTTTCGCAAATGTGCGCCCGCGGGGCCTAACCTTTCGGCTTCTTGACAGTTTGGACAGTCACAAGTAGCTCGACCGGCGTAGCGGCGTTGCGATCGCGGCGAGGGCGCTTGTGCAGGTGGAGCTGGTGATCCCGGACCGTGTAGTCCAAACGAACCTTGTGTCGGTAAAACCGACTTGTAGGCATCTTGCAAAAGGTGTGGCGCGGGTGGCAATAAATGTGCACCTCCAGAGAGGGAATGTGTAAGTTGGGAATAATCTTGTCCAGCATAGTTGGCCATTTGTCCACCAACGTCTAGCCAACCACTGTGAACATCCCACCAAGTTCCACCCACGGCGCCCACTCCACTCATCTCTGCTGCTTTTAAAGCACTACTCCCACCACCTCCACCAACATTGAAAGGCCAAGATTCGTAGGGGTGTCTAGAATACATAGATCCGAGGCTAGCACTAGATTCACTTTTGCCCAGAAGTTGATCTCCTGAGGACGGAAAATACAGATCATTGCCATATGATGGCGCGGCAGCGCAAGATGTCGGTGGTCGTGCGTATGGCCCACACGATGGAGCCTGTGAGCGAGCAATAGCTCCAGCATTTGGTGGTGAATGTGCACCAGGACTTTTCTTCCAGGGATGAAAACCTTTTCCCACGGCAGCATCTGCTAGCGGAGGCGGAGATTTACTTGACAATTTGTTGCACTGGGNATACAGATCATTGCCATATGATGGCGCGGCAGCGCAAGATGTCGGTGGTCGTGCGTATGGCCCACACGATGGAGCCTGTGAGCGAGCAATAGCTCCAGCATTTGGTGGTGAATGTGCACCAGGACTTTTCTTCCAGGGATGAAAACCTTTTCCCACGGCAGCATCTGCTAGCGGAGGCGGAGATTTACTTGACAATTTGTTGCACTGGGCCGCGAGCATCGCCAGGGGCGTACCGCGTAAGCTCGGATGTTCCTGGAAAGACAGATAATCAATGCTTAATCATTTGAAATGGAGTAAAAAAAAACAATGCTTTATTCAGTTTTAATTATCGATACAGACTCGGACCGTGAGAACGGGTTCGAGTGTCAAATCAGATTTATGGGCTAATTTATATGAGAACTAATGCAGCGGCGTTCTAAGCCCGAGGCGGTAACAAATAATATAAATAAATTTTGAAGAGCTTATAGGCAGTAGTGTATTTACAATTAGTCGGCGCGGTGACAGCTCCGGTCGCTACTGCTTGCCAGCCTCGGGACCGCTTAATCAATAACAACGTGCAAACATTTATTTGTTTTATAATTTTAATTATAAAAAAGAACATTCACACGCATTATTTAACAGAAAAAAATAATAGTTTAAAAAACTAACGAAATACGCCTTTATAGATAGACAATCCAACTAAAAAATAGAAAATAAATTTTACTAAATTTTAATTAAATATAGTGTAAGAAAAAATGATTTTATTGTAAAAAAATGGCGTGTGGTGCTTTTTAGGATATTATCAAAATAACCTTTCTACTCATATATGTTAATAAAATATTACTAACTCATACCATGCATTTTCTATAAAAGCGTATTTTGTTAGTTTTTTTAAATTATCATATTATTTATTTTTCATTTTTTAGTTGAATTTCTATTTTACCATATTTTTTTTGGCAATTTTTTTTAATACATTTATCATCGGTCCTCAATAAGTATACCAAATTTCAAGTTAATCTGACGTTTAGAAGGCGATCAAAATCATGTTCAAACATTCCGTTACATACTAACATACAGACGTCTGAAGCTAATAAAAGCGTATTAATAATTACATGTTCGTGAAATTTTACGTGAATAAATTAAACAGACTATTTTAGTTACACCTTTATCCCTACTTCAAGCATCGTAAAAGTAGACATCTAAATGATATTCAAATCAAAACTAATGAATTCATCGAAAAAAAAAACCCCATAAAGAAGACGATTCGTTCACAGTTGTTCATTTCGTGGAGTGAAATAAAGGTGAGAGTCGATTGAACATCCGGCCGGAAATTTCACCCCAATATGAGACACAATGGTTTGATAAAAAACGTTTTCATTGTGTATCGGTAATATAATCCAGGGATCAGGATACAGGGATAGGAGAGGGAAGGGGTGCGGGGTCCGACCACGCCCTGTACATTGTGATTGGCGCAGCTGTTGCGCCGACGTGTGTTAGCCCTTCAACGAATGGATTTTATTTCGAATATCTAGATTTCGACAGTATTTTTAATCTCTATTAGCACAATTAGTAGTAATAAGGAAATAAGGTAAAGAGTTCCTTCAATATATTACGTTGATGATCTACGAAAGATGCATTTTGTCAGTAATCAACGTGTCACGTCCAACGTATACAAATGCTTGTATCCACATATCAGATCCCATAGACACAACCTCGCTGGGCCTTGTCAGTGGGTCGCGGTTCTGTTCCGCTAGTAGATTCAGCGAAGCACTGCTCTTGCTGGTGCTAGTATTAACAATTATCTCAGGTTGAACCCGTGAGCTCACCTACCAGTCCACGTGAAGTTGGAATAGCCCCTTAGCAACGATTAGGTGGGGGAAAGAAATAATCGGGTAACTTATCATAGTAATGTTTAACTTGGACACCATGGTAAACTATAGCAATGAATTCGATAAACCATATTTACATAACAAACAATACAATACATACTATTATTACACAGAAAATCGATGGCACACGTCATCGGTCATGGAAATATGTGTAGTTACACCCGTAAATGCCATTATTCATACCTAATGTATAATGTAAATGAACGTCGATTTTAGTTAACAGAAATAATGGGGCCGTACCTTACGCCATCGACGCCGGGATTTACCGAGTTGAGTTGTAAATGTGGCCACTTTCTCAATTAACTCCTCGACAGTTATAATTATCAAAAAAAAATAATAAAAACCCGCCAAATTGCCGCGCGCAGCGGACGTTTATTTAGATCTCATACGAGCACAAGAACATTAGCTACGGAATTTTATTCGTTTTGAATTCTTAAATCACACTTAAACCACATTTGAATTCATAATTATTTTATAGCGAAATATCACTAGTTTGTTTTATTAAGCAAGCTGCAGACCACTTGGCGTGTTTCTTGGTGCATTGCAAATCACGATCTAATAGCAACACACATACCGGCTTATAGTTTCGTTGGATGCCACTGTACTTTTCCATCAAGCGCCAAAGTATACTCGTGTAGACAATGTACTTATCAATTGCTTACCAAACGCAAATAAATGCAACGCAAAATTGTTACAGAGAGTGCTGAAACCGAGATCGCCGTCATATCAAAGTTGAAACTAAACAATTGTGAAACACGTTTCGAGGCAATTTAAAATTATAGGTATTAGGCGACGAGAGCGGGTGAATCAATGTGAGTGGGCACACCGCGGAGGCGACGGCCGGCACTGAGATCATAATTACCCTAGGCATTATGCTCCATTTGGGTGCAGGCCGAAACAGAGTGATATCGAGTAATTGGTCGTCAACCAGCCGGCCGGTCAGCCGAGAGATTGGATCAAAGCGAGGATGACGCCTCTGAAGCGACTCAGCGGCGCCACAGATACATTAAACAACGTTGATGGCCTTTTCCTTGTCAAAAATGACGAAGATATTTGTCGGAAAAAATTAAAGCGTAAACTGAGATTACCCTTTGTGAGTATGAAATTGTGATATCATGGAGCAGGTAGTTAGGTAATACCTACCTATCTATAGAGTTAATAATAGAAGTAAAATATTCAAAAAATTTACGTTGGAATGTGTTACATTACGCAATTTCGTAGTTTTTGTTTATATTATATCAGTAAAAACATATAGTTTTGCATCCATAATTTGTTTTATCCCAACTAAAACAAAATTGAAAATATACACCAGCTCCAATACAACGTTGCAAACCCAACACGATTGTTTCCAAATGCTTTCACAACAATTTGCATCCGAATTAGGTTATTGACCTTCGCTTCAGACGCTTTATAAAGTCATAATTATCGACATTGACGAGAGCGGCTAGTAATGTAAATTTCAACTGTTTATGTACCGATGCATTAAGAACAGAAATATTTGCAATGTTACACACTTTAAATTATTTTTAATCTTACACTCAACAATTTGAAAGGAAACCGGATGTATTAATGTATTATCAAATAATGCAACTTTACATCTGACCTTCTGAGGTCAATAATTGTTATTTCTGAGTCAAATCAAATCCGCAGTTTTGTAAGTTATGTCTAATGGTAGGACGTATGAGATTTCACGGCTTGATGCCACTATTCAACCTATATCAGCCGCAAAGCAATCCTGCGGTCTGATTTAATTGAGCCGCCATTACAATAAAATCGTTTATTGAATCTAATGTTTTAAGATGAGTGACGGTATTCCGGTTATGATAATAATAGTAATAATACATATCATAATTTTTTTATTGCATAGTTAGGTGGACGAGCTCACAGGCCACCCAGTGTTAAGTGGTTACAGGAGCCCATAGACATCTACAATGTAAATGCCGCCGTCCACGTTGAGTTATGAGTTTTAAGGTTTCAGTATGGTTACAACGGCTGCCCCACCCTTCAAACCGAAACGCATTACTGCTTCACGGCAGAAATAGGCAAGGCGGTGGTACCTATCCGTGCGGACTCACAAGAGGTCCTACCACCATTAATTACGCAAATTATAATTTTGCGGGTTTGATTTTTATTACAAGATGCTTATTCCTTCACCGTGGAAATCAATCGTAAACATTCCTTAAGTACGTATTTCATTAGAAAAATTGGTACCCGCCTGCTGGGCTTAGAACACCGGTGCATCGCTCAAAACGAATGCACCGGACGTCTTATCCCTTAGGCCACGACAACTTCCTAAAGTTGATAGTCTATGTATATAATAACCGAGGACAATTCACACACGGTCATCTTACCCGTAAACTAGGATTCCCTGTACGATGAGGACCACAGACTGATATACAGTACCCGACAATAAATATTGCACCTCGACCCTTGGGAAGAGACAATCGGCTAACTTCGGCTTCGTTGAGTTTCCAAGAGTTGATGTGCAACATTTATCGACGGGTACTGTACATGACTGACTCGGTGGTACAGTACTTAGCGCCCCTGACGGTTGCACCGAGGGTTGTGGCCTCTTTTCCCACATCAGGCAAACATTCGTGTGATGAACAGGTTTGTTTGCTTCGTCTGGGCGTTTATTATCTATATATGTATATATTTAAACATATATATGTAATTATATTGTTATGTTTATCAATCTCTGATACCCAAAATAAAGGGAAACCTAAATTAGGGCTGGTAGACCGTGCGTGATTTGTTCCCGGTTATTATTATTATTCTACTATATAATTATACAGTATTCTTTTTTCATTCGAAATACAATTTTTAAAAACATGATTGCTATTATTAGTTATTATATACGTTTAAATATGTACCATATATTCATTTATAGATATTAGAGACCCAGATAAAGAGTAAACAAACTTTTTCATTATACAAACGCTTGCTTCACGTGGAATCGATGATCCATCTGTCAGGAGTGTCAGCTACCACCGAGTCAATCAATGGTGCCTTCATACTTTCCACTTAATATGAGCTGAGTTATAAGCTAATTCAACTGTCTACCCACAAGAATAAAAGTTAATAGTATTTTTGTTGGATCAATTAATATAATCCTTCTCTATAAAAATATATCTCTTCTTCTCTATAAAAAAATATTTCACATTAATGAGAGAAAAAGCGAAAATTATTTTGAGGTTTTTTAATCCATATCTTTAGAACAGCCGCGAAGATTGCTTATTACATTAGATTACCAAATTATGATGCTTCAAAATGAATATTCAAGCAAAACACTTATCCCCTACACATTAATAAGATGATCGTGAAGTTGTTATAAACGAAATTGTATTTCATAAAAAATTATGACCGTGTTTATAAGTTAATACT